AGTTCGATCCCCAGTACCAAAAAAGAAAAAGAAAAGAAAAAAAAAAGAAGTAAGAGAATGGAAAGAAAAAAAATTATAGATTTCAGCTGACTGTGGTGGCTCAATCTTATAATACCAGTGACTCTGGGGGCTGAGGTAAGAGGATCACAAGTTTAAGGCCACACTGCACAACTTAGTGAGACCCTGCCTCAAAATAAAAAAGGGTTGGGGGATGTAGTTCAGTGCAAAGGTCCTGTGTTCAATTCCCAGTCCAAGAAAAAAAAAAGAAAGAAAGAAAGAAAAAGAAGGAAAAAAGAAAAATGAAACCAAAGGTGAGTGTCTATTCATGAGGTGGGTTCATAATGCCAATGAAAAGTATATATGTTGGCCGGGATTATTTTTATAATAGAGGCTAAAATTTTAGATTGGCAGATTCCTTAATTCTCCTATAAGATCATATAGTAAACAAAAGAAAAATCTTTAAAATGTACAAAATATATAAAATTATATAGGTCATTAAACAATAATTAAAATATATTTATAATTTTGTATATTATTTATAATTTTAATGTAAATACGCATTCATACTTAAATAGGTGAGAATTCTTACTTGCATTCAATTTTCTTTTGGTTGTGTTTTGTGAGAGGAGATTTGAATGTTAAAATCTTTGTTTTATTGAAAATGATTTTGTTTTACTTGCACTTTTTTTTTTGAGAGTCCTGCCAAATTGTGAACCACACTGACCTTGAACTCATGATCTTCCTGCATCAGCTCCCAAGTGCTGGGATTGCAGGTGAGCACCACCATAATCAGCTGCTCTGCACACTTGAATAAAAGTGTAAATGAACTGGACCCTGTGCTTGCCAGGCAGGTTCTGTGCCACTGAGGTTAAAACCCTAGCCTTTCTTTTTTTTTTTTTTTTTTCTAAGACAGGGTCTCACTGTGTAGTGCAGTCTGGCCTTGAATTCACTATGTATCCCAGGTTGGCCTCAAACTCGTGGTGATCCTCCTGAGTGCTGGGATTACAGGTATACACAACCATACTTGGCTCAACGTTTTGAAAATATTACTGCAGTATCTTTCTGCTTTTATTTGTATTTTATTATTATTATTATTAATTAATTAATTTATTTTTTACTTTTTTTTGGTACGGGGATTGAACTCTGGTCCTTGTACTTGTGAAGCAGGTGGTGGAACCACTGAGCTAAATCCCCAGCCCTTTATTTTTATTTTGAGACAGGGCCTTGCTTTGCAGTCAGGCTATCCTTGAACTCACTACGTAGCCCAGGCTGGCCTCAAACTCAGCAATTCTCCTGCTTCAGCCTCCCTAGTGCTGGGATTATAGGTGTGCACCACCACCATGCCCGACTTTTCTGCTTTTATTGTTGAATCTAACTGTATTTTCTTTGTCTTTGGTAGATTTTAAGATCTTTACCTGTGGTGCCTGCAATTTCACCATGATGATGTGTCTAGGTGTTAATTTTTTTTTTTGTACTGGGGATAGAACTTGGGACCTTGTGCTTATGAGGCAGGTGGTGGCACCACTGAGCTAACCCCCTAGCCCAGGTGTGAATTTTTAAAACATTTGCTTGGTGCACCAGGGGGTTAGCTCAGTGGTGCTGCTGCCTGTTTTGCAAATGCAAGGTTCGATCCCCAGTACCAAAAAAAACATTTTTTTTTTTTTGCTTGGCATTTATGTGACTTTTAAATCTCAGGGTTCATATCCTCCCATTAGTTTGGGGAAATAATCAGTGATTATCTCTTTGAATGACTATCCTCCATTCTTCCCTTTTTTCCTGGATCATCTTTTATAGTTAAGTTAGACCTTTATACCCTTTGTCTCTAAATATCTATTTTCTCTTTCTCGTTCTGTGCTGCCTTCTAAGTAAATTCATCCAGTCCATTAATTTTCTCTTCAGCTATTCCTAACATGCTGTTTAACTCACTAAGTTTTAATTTATAATTTCTAACATTCTAGTTGTTTTTGCTTTTCTATTGGTTCTTGTTTCATTGACCCTTCTTTTTTGTATTTCTTCTTTAGATTTGTTTGTTCTAGGGATTGAAGCCAGGGAGTGCTAAGCTACATCCCTTGTCCTTTAAAAAAAATTTTTAAAAATTTTATGACAGGATCTCACTTAATTGCCCAGGTTGGTATCAAACTTGTGATCCTCTTGCCTCAACCTCCTGAGTAGTTAGATTACAGGTGTGTGCTGCTGTGGTCCACTTATAATTTTAAAATACTTATTATATAGCCTCAATCATATTGTTATAAATTTTGAGTGTTTTTTTGAGACAGGGCTTCTCTATATTGTTCAAGTTGGCCTCGAACTCACTGTGTAGCCCAAGCTGGCCTCAAACTTGCAGGTATCCTCCTGCCTCAGCTTCCTAAGTACTGGGATAACAGGTATGTGCCACCAGGCCTGGCCCATATTGTTATATATTTAAACCCTAAGGTCATGTGAGGCACAGGCACATGATTCTCTTTTTTCTTTTTATTGAGTTTGTTGGTACAATCTAGGTCTACAACACAGTTACATTCATTACTGGGATCCTGTAGCTTTACATGACAGGACTTGGTTCTCATTTTTTCCCCTTGTCCCTGCTCTCCCTTCACCCCCTCCCCATTTACAAACACTTTATTTCCATTTTTTCATTTTCTCATATTTTTTCTTTTCCCTTATCCCTTTCCCCTACCCTTCCCACTTTCCCTACACCTTTAGCCCTTTTCTTCCTATTTCACACTCTTAATTATCCCATTAGGATCTTGTGTACCATTATAGTTTTTCACACCAGGAAACTATTTGGTATTTACACATGTGTGACTTATTTATTTCACTTAAGAGTATATCCTCAATACGTGTCCAGTTTCCTATGAATGACTCTAATTTCTCATTCTTTACAGGCACATGATTCTTAATTCCTCAAGGAAAGCTTTCTTCTTTCCCTTGTCTCCTAACTCCAACAGCAAATTAGGTTTTAATTCACATTTCCTACTGTGGTCTTGGTTTCTTTTGTGTTTCTGGAACCTGGGGCTATACCTTTTTTTTCCTTTTCCCCCATTATTAACCATGCTTAATATTGTTATCCATATTCAATATTGGGGAAACCAAAATAGGAGATTTCTTTTATTAGAGTACAGGTGAGATGATCTATCTATATCAAAATCATTTCAAATGCAGTTTGTTTCCCTTAGTCTTTTTTGCTGATGCAAAATAGTTTCCTTATCCTCCTTATCTGTAGCTCTCCTTTGAGCCAGAGTCTGTGTATTCCAGGGAGGCCTTGAATTCACTATGTAGCCAAGGTTGGCCCCTCAAACTCACTGCAATCCTCCTGCCTCAGCCTCCTGAGTGCTGGGGTTATAGGTATGCACCACCATGCCTGGCTGGTATCACTCCCCCATCTTGTTGTTTTTTTTTTTTTTTTTGGTACTGGGGATCGAACTCAGGTCCTTGTGCTTGCAAGGCAGGTGGCTAAATCCCCGGCCCACATTTTTCTTTTCTTCATGAACCTGTTTTCTTGTGTATTCTTTCCGTCTTTTCAGTCATACACCCACCCCACTTTGGCTCCTTCCACGGTTGGTAAGTGCCAACAATCAGCCAACATCTTATGCCCTCAGGGGTTGGTTTGGCACTCAGTGTGCACAGACTGAATCTTTTCACGAATACATGTTCTTTTTTCTGTCATTGTGGATTCTGAACTACTAGAATGAATCATCTGCCTGTGTGGTTCCTAGATTTATTCTGTGAAGCACATGAAGGCCGAAAAAAAGTTCTACTTTTACAAGGGTCTTGAGTCTGGGTTGGATGTCCAGCTAGTCACAGAGACCACAAAGCAAATAGCAAAGTATGTGAGTGATAGTCTTCCGTATTTGAAAGAATAAAAAAAAAAAAATTCTCAAATTAGGAGCTGTAATTAAAAAATAAACAACAAAAAACAATGCCTCTGTGTCATTGGGGCCTTTGAGTTGGGGTCACTGGGAGTGACTTAAGAGAAAACACCCATATTTCATGGCCAGTTAAAATTTGCTTGAAGTCATTCAATAGAAGTAACAGAATATTCTTTGCATTGAATTATATTTTTTTGAGTAGTCGGCTTTGTATTTAGAAGAGAGTTTATAGTTTATTCAGCAGTTCTTGGTGTTCAGAGCAGGAAAAATTTCAGGTCCTCTGGTCTGCCTATTCGTCAGACTGGAAGTCTATTATTTAACTCTGTTTTCATTTAAAAAATGTTTTAAATGGCGGCAAAATAAAAATTATTAGTTCATTTTAT